ACGCACGGGTTCTTCCGGCATACAGGGTTCTCGTCTCAAAATGTCGAACTAAAGTATTTGGACAACCGGGGAATAGGGTGAAAATGTAAAAATTATGCCCCAAAATAGTGCTTCAAAATCGGGGTAGGGTCACCTGCCAAGTGCCCTGACATTCCTCCATGTCTCAAAATGTCGAACTTAAAGTATTTGGACAACCGGGGAATAGGGTGAAAATGTAAAAATTATGCCCCAAAATAGTGCTTCAAAATCGGGTAGGGTCACCTGCAAAGTGCCCTGACATTCCTCCATGTCTCAAAATGTCGAACTTAAAGGTATTTGGACAACCGGGGAATAGGGTGAAAATGTAAAAATTATGCCCCAAAATAGTGCTTCAAAGTCGGGTAGAGTCACCTGCAAAGTGCCCTGCATTCCTCCATGTCGAACTTAAAGTATTTGGACATCCAGGCTGGGGGGTCTCGTGGCACAAAATTAGGCCCACTCAGAGTGCTTGGTGAGCGGATACATTCTTCCATGATTTGCCATAGCCGTTTTTTTCTGAGTGCACCCAAAAACTGGGTTTCCGATTTCGTGCGGACGGTAGTCTGAAAAGTATGGATAATCTTTTTCACAGTGTAGGGGAAATGAAGCCCAAGGACCTTTTCCCCTTCTCCGTTTGCACCAACCATCGGAGAAGGGGAAAAATCGGCCCGAAGCGCCAAACACCTGGCCCCTTCTCCCGTTGGCACTCTGTCATCTTTTTGACCATTTTTCAAAACTTCATTTTGATTATTTTAAGATATAATTAACCGTTTTCTTCACTTTTCTTTGCTTTCCACGGGTGGGGGCGCCTAGCAGGCCGCCTATGAGCACCCAAATTTGGCCTGGATCATCCAGGATTTGTGGGCTAAGCTCAAGACTAAATCACCCAGAGAGGTCACCTTTCTAGCCCCAAAAATATATAATACAAATACATTTAAATAGTAAAAGGTTGCACTTGTGCTCTGCATTACCCGGAATTGATTTTCATAGCCCCATGATAGTGATTTAAAATCATTTTTGTGGGAAAAAGTGTTAAAACGCCTGATTAAATTATATGCAGGACCCCAGTGAGCTCCAGACTATGTGCATTGTGTTGGGAACCATATAAATGATAGAATAAATGCATTTAAATGCAAAAATAATTATTTAAAATCATTTAGGGGGACAATTGTGGAGAGGAGCCTGAAAATGACTCTGCAGCACCCCGGATAACTACCAGTTCATCTGGTTTAAATGTGGTGGTGATAGTGGCATTAACTAGTACCCAGTACTGGGAGAGAACCAGGCTACAGCACATGTCTTTTCAACCAGGAAAGAGTGCTCAAAACGTGGGTAAAGGTGTGTTTAAACAGTGGGGGTAACATGTTTCAAATTACAGCAGAATGATGCTTGTTGGCAGGCTGACTCAGTTCACTTGTCTCACACACACCCAGGGGGGGGGCAAAAGAGGACACATTGACCCAGCAGTAAATGCTCAAAACGTGGGTAAAGGTGTGTTAAACAGTGGGGTAACATGTTTCAAATGACAGCACACTGCTGCTTGTTGGCAGGCTGACTCAGTTCACTTGTCTCACACACACCCAGGGGGGGGGGCGAAAGAGGACACATTGACCCAGCAGTAAGTGCTCAAAACGTGGGTAAAGGTGTGTTAAACAGTGGGGTAACATGTTTCAAATGACAGCATGGTGCTGCTTGTTGGCAGGCTGACTCACTTAACTTGTCTCACACACACCCAGGGGGGGGGGCGAAAGAGGACACATTGACCCAGCAGTAAGTGCTCAAAAACGTGGGTAAAGGTGTGTTAAACAGTGGGGTAACATGTTTCAAATGACAGCACACTGCTGCTTGTTGGCAAGCTGACTCAGTTCACTTGTCTCACACACACCACAGGGGGGGGGCGAAAGAGGAAACATTGACCCAGCAGTAAGTGCTCAAAACGTGGGTAAAGGTGTGTTAAACAGTGGGGTAACATGTTTCAAATGACAGCATGGTGCTGCTTGTTGGCAGGCTGACTCACTTAACTTGTCTCACACACACCCAGGGGGGGGCGAAAGAGGACACATTGACCCAGCAGTAAGTGCTCAAAACGTGGGTAAAGGTGTGTCGAACAGTGGGGTAACATGTTTCAAATGACAGCAGAATGATGCTTGTTGGCAGGCTGACTCAGTTCACTTGTCTCACACACACCCAGGGGGGGGGCGAAAGAGGACACATTGACCCAGCAGTAAGTGCTCAAAACGTGGGTAAAGGTGTGTTAAACAGTGGGGTAACATGTTTCAAATGACAGCATGGTGCTGCTTGTTGGCAGGCTGACTCAGTTCACTTGTCTCACACACACCCAGGGGGGGAAAGATAACACTTGTACCAAAGAATAAGTGTTTGAAAAGGCGGGGAAAAGTTGTTTGAAATAGTATAATACCTCCAGGGCGCATAACTGCACTTTACAAGCCAGAAATAATGTTTAAATGGTCGGGGAAAGTATTTTTAAATGTCTGGAAGAGAGTTTTAGCAAGTCATTTTGCACGATATCATTTAACATTGACGCTCTCCTGAAAATGCACAGAATATGTGCATTTTCAGGAGAGCGTCAATGTTAAATGATATCGTGCAAAATGACTGACTAAAACCCCGGAATAAGTGTTTGAAAGGCGGGGAAAAGTTGTTTAAAATAGTCTGATACCTCCAGGGCGCATAACATGGGTAAAAAGTGTGTTAAAAGGTCGGTGAACATGTTTCAAATGACAGCAGACTGGTGGTTGTTAGCAGGCTGGCTCAGTTCACTTGTCTCACACACACCCAGGGGGGGAAAGAGGACACATTGACCCAGGAGAAAGTGCTCAAAACGTGGGTAAAAGTGTGTTGAAAAGTGGGGGAACATGTTTCAAATGACAGCACACTGCTGCTTGTTGGCAGGCTGACACAGTTCACTTGTCTCACACACACCCAGGGCGGGAAAGAGGACACATTGACCCAGGAGAAAGTGCTCAAAACGTGGGTAAAAGTGTGTTGAAAAGTGGGGGAACATGTTTCAAATGACAGCAGAGTGCTGCTTGTTGGCAGGCTGACTCAGTTCACTTGTCTCACACACACCCAGGGGGTGAAAGAGGACACATTGACCCAGGAGAAAGTGTAATACCTCCAGGGCGCATAACTGCACTTTACAAGCCAGAAATAATGTTTAAAAAAATCATTTAACATTGACGCTCTCCTGAAAATGCACAGAATATGTGCATTTTCAGGAGAGCGTCAATGTTAAATGATATCGTGCAAAATGACTGACTAAAACCCCGGAATAAGTGTTTGAAAGGCGGGGAAAAGTTGTTTAAAATAGTCTGATACCTCCAGGGCGCATCACCAAAAATGTACAAGCCAGGGAAGGTGCCTGAATCCCGGATACTTTAGGTCTGTCACTTAGGGTGACCGCACCACTCCGACGCTCCCGAGAGCGGACGTCCATTATTTTGTAAGGCACCTAAGAGGGAGAAGGAGAAAATGTTGAATCGTGTCTTTCAGGCATGTCCTTTCCTAACAAAAATTACAGGAAACATAAAACATATTATTGCAGAACAAGTGTGTTATTTATGAAAGAAGTTTGTTTGTGTTTAGGGGCTGTAGATATAATTATTTTGTAATTGTAATGTTATATTTTATTTCAACAGTGAGCTACAAAGACAATCAGATTATGAATGAACAGTATGAAATTCATCAACATTGAAATATATTTTATTATCAAAATAATATTTAACTGTTATCAAAACTTAGTGCAACTGTAGAAGCTTGCTCTGTTCTCTCACTGAAATAATAACTTTTACCACGTTTTTTACAGACAATATTGAGAGATAAATAGTAGCAGTTCTCACTATGTGTTAAATAGCTTTGCCTTCAATACCTTAGATTAGAAAGCTGACAAAGTAATATTGCTTGTTAACATGTAACCCTTGGCATGGAAAAACCCCTCAACTTCACTGATGTGTAGGTGATCTAGTATTTAGTATTGTTTAATGGAATGTATATCAGTGTATTAAAGTCAATACTTAATTTATTTAAACCAATATCTTTCTTGATTCTTTGTACAGTATGAAAAAATAGTATTTGTACCTGTGCTGAAGTTCACTGCTGTGAGGAGTCCAGTGCTGTCTCTCACTCTCTGGTCCAGCCTGTCTGCATCACCTGGAAACTTTAAACAAATAGATATATATGTAAAGAACCATGTGTACAGTACAAACAATATAACGTATTCTCTTCTGTTGAACATGTTGGATTGTGTATTGTTCGAGTCAGGGTCCTTTTTATTTTACTGTAACTTTGGAAGTTGTGTTACCAATGCTTACTGTTCATTTGATATTAATTTGGTAATACAATTAATAAAAACAACAAGATTTGGGTTCGTTCTTCAGATATGACTGACGTTAACGTGTAAGCTCAATAATGAACTCCAGCTCAACCAACCATATTGTAATATCCAAGTAATCATCTTGAAATATGACATTAATAATTGTAATATACACACATCTTATTGTGAGGTTGATTTCACATACACTACTTCGACACTACTTGTCTACATACTTGAGCATAGCGGATTTAAATTAACCTTAGCGATGCATACAGTTCCTAGAACTTCCTACCTACATAATAAAATATCTCTCTGAGTTACAAGGATGACCTTATTTTACCAACCTCAAACAGAAGCCGTTTGTTCTACAGTATTATCCCACTTAACGCTTAATGCTTAACACTTGTCTATTTCGTTTTAACCTTCATATATACAGTCTATGGTTTTAACTTGCAGGCTACGATTAGCATCGTTAGCACAGATGTAGCTACCACTCGCTTACACGCTAACCCAAGCCTTAACATTCATTACGTAGCTGATTAAAATCATAAACACATAAATAAGTACTCGAATTTCAATTACCCGCAAAACCGCATTCATGCACCGTCTGTTTTAACCGCAGAGCGAGTCACAATAGTCTGATATAAGCATGAAGACACGGAACGTTAGCCCCGCAGTCATCCGGTTCGACCTGACTATGGCTGTGACTGTGTGACTGACCCGAGCCTCGTCGTTGTGATAGCTCCGCCCCTTCGCTCCAACCCCCCTCCCTCCCCCCACATCTACAGGTGAAAATTACTTTTGCGACACATTCATCGCAAGAAGTGTAGCAAAAGTCAAGGCCGCAGATTTGTCGATTTATACTGCCACAGAGCAGATTCGTGAAGTTGTAATGACTGATTTGAGAGGTTGTAATAACCAAGTTGCAGTTGTAATGGAAAATATATTAACAAAATATATATTTTCTGCAAGTGAACATTTCATCACTAAGTTCATCTTTTTTCTACAAGCTACAAAACTTTTTTTTTTATTCTGTGACTTCAAATTTGGTTCACAGATACATGGATATTTTATACAAGTGTAAATGTATGCACACAAGCTCAGATTTTTTTCTGCAAGTACTCACATCAGGTTTTACACGCTCTCGCATTTTGCACCATATCTACCTTCATATCTATCAGCTGACGCCAACAGGCAGGAACAGGGAGACAAAACACTGAGAGCACAGCAGCCAAGGCTACAGGTGCCTGTGCTCAGTGAGGTCAGTACAAACTGATAAACTGGGTCAAAGTTATGGGCCTTGGAAAATATTTCCACACACACACACACACACACACACACACACACACACACACACACACACAGGTAAACACAGTGAAGGCGGTGTGTAAAAGGCACATCTCTCCCACTTGGTGAACCGGTAACTTTCTCGAGCGCACAAGATACTTTTTTTTTTAGTCTTACCTTGACTTGAAGATGAAGTCCATTTGCCTATCCTTCTGGACAAAAAATTCTATAACTTTTTTGTAAAAGTCCTCCTTATCTTCTTGTAGTTTCAAAGTCTATCATAAATCTAATCGATAGATTTATGATAAAAAAATTATAAAAGTAGGGTAGACATGTGGATGTTATCCGGCTGAACAAAACGTGCATTTATCTAACAGGTACGTTTCCCACAGATCTTATTTACAGCTATTTTCTAAAATCCTCTGGAGAACCTCATTGCTTTTTTTGCAGCTTACTTCCTGGTTTTAGGACGCGTCACTGCAGCTCTCTCGTCTCCTCTTCAAGCACCACACTTTTCGCGGCACACGTACTTACAGCCAATCAGCTCTGAATGATGTGAGATGACGTATGGTGGGGATGGCAGCTCTGTGCCCCTATGGCCTTTTTTTTTGCCACACACATTACATTGAAAAATACTCTGAGCATGCGCAGTATAGTTTTTACAGTCACTGTTCACTTTACATTTTTTTATTTCTTTTTGTGCATCTCTTTGCATTTTTTGTAATCATTATGTGTAATACTTTCTGCTGACACTAGGTGGGGCTGTGCCCCACCTGCCCCTAATGACCAGTCGCCACTGATTCTTATATCTCTGTAGAGCAGGTCTGTCAACATGTTGTTTTAAATTGATCAAAATGTCCTGTTTCTGAAGGTTGTTAAACACAGACGTGCTGTGAACATCTCAATCTCCTCCGACTGTGAACTGGACATTTATCACAGTTACAGTGTGCACTGTGAACCTGAGGGCTTCTTCATTCAGCCTGAGGTGAGTCACTGATACTCCTCTAAAGAAACACAATGATCATTATCACACATGTATCTGCATGTGGATTCACAATCAGGAAAGATCCAGATAAACATTTAACTTCTGCTTCTGGTTTCCAGAGTAAAACATTTGATTCCAGGTTTGGACCAAACTACTACCCGGCATTTCTAGTTTCCCTGACGACGAGCACAGAGAGAGTGGTTTTGAAGGTCAAGGACCAAGGTGGAAATGTAGTCTGGTATTGTCGCGTGTCACTTGAAGGTAAAGACTCCACCTGAGCTCAGACCCAGTGATAGACTGGATAACTCTAAAGCTCCATCTCATAGCATTCTCTATTAAGGCTCCATGGCAGCGCATCATTACTAAACACACAACTTGTTATATTCTAAAAACTAGTGTTGTGCAGTGGTGAAACAGCGTGGCATTATGGGAGTTGTAGTCTTCAGCTTCTCATGCTTAAGTGGATACGCCGCCATTACAGGAGACCGTGATGAACGTATTTTGACCTTGATTAAAATTACACATCTCTCTGAACCATTTGCGATAATGTTTGAACACAACTCAACAAAATATAAATAATACAGTTGTAGGAGTTTTTATACATTTTAATGAGGAAATGTTACATATTATAACTTTAAGTGAACAAAAATCCACCTCTGGGAATGTCGAGTTACTTTAATTTTTAAGAGATCTGTTTAATGTGATTGTTGGTTAACACAAGTATTTTCCCTATTTATCTTCCAGATCCAAGGAAGGAATTGTCCCAGAGAAATGTCCAAGAGAGCAGAGTCTCAGCAGAGAGCAGAGACCCAGCAGAGAGCAGCGTCTCAGCAGAGAGCAGAGTCCCAGCAGAGAGCAGCGTCCCAGCAGACCAGAGGCTGTTCTCAGTTCGGACAGAGTTCATTCAAAGAGTGACTCCAACTCTCCTGATCGACCTTCTGGATAAACTCTTTGAGTCTGGAGTGATCACCGAATCTGAAATGACGTCGGCCAGAACAAAACCCCAAAATGGCGGAGCACGAGAGGTGGTGGACGCGGTGCGAAATAAAGGAGCTGAAGCCAGCAGGGTTCTGATCAATGCTCTCCGTGAGCTGGACCCGTATCTTTACAGAAAGCTCAACTTGAGCTGAGGAAAAACCTTGTGGAGTGTGTGTGACAGTTGAAGTCTAGTCCTCTGTTTTGTTACCTGTACATTTTCCCCCTTGTCCTTGAAGGTAACACAGATTCTGAGCGAAGGCCACTTTCGTTCTCTCTTTTCTCCTGGACTCCCTCCTGAGAGCAGCAACCCGTATTTTTTTTCAAGTAAATGTTTACTTTATTACATACAATACTTTAATTTACCAGCATCCATTTCATCCTTTCACATTTTTGTCAGGCATAGGAGCCGGGTTATGACAAAAATAAGGGCTTGTTCTTATTTTACCAATTAGTACTGACTGCTGGGTAAGATTTGGGATTTTGGGGCATTTGGTACCTAGGCATGCGATTTGGAGTTTTATTTGTTTTGTATTATCAAACTGTAAAAACCTGTACCTGTTTGTGCTGGTGAATGTAAATATAATATACTTAGGTAGTGAATTAAACCCAGTGGTGTTCAGTAACTAAGTACATTTACTCAAGTATTGTACTTAAGTACAATTCTGAAGTACTTATACTTTACTTCAGTAACTCAATATTTTTGCTACTTTGTACTTCTACCCAGTAGCGGCTGGCCCATAGGGGGCGATAGGGCGCCGCCCTCCCTAAACCCAAGCCCCCAGGAAGTGCTCCGGACTCTCAAAATGTGTTGTGTCCAAACGGCGGTACTGCAACTTCCGTATCAGTCCGTGACGTCACCCAGCCCAAAAATACTTTTTCCCATTGACTAACATGGGGAAAGAGACGTCTGTAAATCGGTGGATATTTTTTTTTAACTAAATAAACTACCCAGTATAAACTATTTTATAGCCTTGATTAGAATCATTCGATCCTTAAAGTTATAAAATGCACTAAAAGCCGAATCTAGATTTATTTTCTCTCTCCATTCATTCTAGTGAGCCGAGATTGGAGCTCGGGGGGCGGGGGCTTAAGGGGCGCATGCTCTGTGAGTGCACATACGGGCCGTTTCTCAATGAGTAAAGCTGCTCCAGAGCCACTATTTCAAGCATACTACGTCATCGAGTGCCGCCGAAGGACTGTTCCAATGTCCAGCATACTTGGAATTCTACCGAGCCCGGCGTACTTGGTAGCGAGACATTTCGAGGCTCCACATGTGTAGACTCTGCGGTCTTAAAATCCCCACAATGCTTTGCGCACGGACCAATTTCCCTCTCTCCTATGACGCACACTTGCTCGCCTGTTCCACTCTTTGTTTTCCGAATGCCAGGAAGTATTCTTGCCTCACTTCTGAAGCAAGTGACTCAGAAGACATGTGCTACCAAGCAAGCGTACTCGACATTGAGAAACACCCACAGGTTCTTCTGCTCTGACAGCCAGGCATGACGGGTAATCTGTGACGTTTCGCTCTCTCAAAAGTTGGGCCATTTTGTCTTCATGCGCCAATGAGCAGCTCTCATGAAAACGAGACCCCGCCTCCGACGCTGTATCCAGTTCTTATTATAAATCCATGCCTAAACCAAGGAAATGCTTTTATATTTTTAAAGTGTTTTTAATTGCTTTTCCTATACTGTGGCTGCTTCTCAATGTCAAGGAAGGATCCTTCAGAGCCTCCAAATAAATAATTAAAATTAATCTTGTTTGGACTTTGCCTCTTTTCTTGATATTTGTGGTTTATGCTACAATGTGCACCAAGATGTGTAACAAAGGTTTGCAGACATCAAGTATGATATATAAATACACATTGTATTATTGATTGGTGATGGTGATTTTATGATTTTCTTATGGCTGCTTATCCTCCAGGACTTTTTCAAGGCTGCAAACAGAAGGAGAACGTGTTATGTTAGTTTAGTGGTTCTGTCCTGGAGAGATAATCATTTTACAAAATACAGTCAAGTACATCTTCGATCTTCGCAAATCAGTTATGAGTCTTCAAACAAATCGCGCTCAATTTAAGGCAGGGCCTCTCATATGACGCACACTTGCTAGCCTGTTCCATTCTTCATTTTCCGAATGCTAGGAAGGATTCTTGCCTAGCCTCTGAAGGACCTGACTCGGAAGGACATGTCCTAAGCGTCCTCGACTTTGAGAAACAGCCCCTGTATGAGTATGACTGAAGCAAAGCCCTATAAAGAGACCACCACGAGACGATCAAGCATTTTGGACTTCCGCTGTTGCAACTCTTTCAGTTATAGGGCTTTGGTACAACTTACTGCTTATGAGAAAGAAACAGATATCCAGGCTCCTGTCGCCATCTGGTGGTGAAGAGAAGAGCAAAGAGGGGCAAACACCTGTCTGCAAGGTTTCTATTTCATATTCAGAAGCAAATCATTGTGTTGTATTGCAGTGTATAAAAGGTTAAACAATAACAAAGCACTTATATGTAAATACTGATTAGAACAACGACTGGACTTTATACTTGGTTTGTGTATATGTGAATCTACAACAATAATTCAAATGTGTACTTTAGTTGTGTTAACAAATACAACACAACTCAAATATGCACTCACTGCAGTTCTTATATAATAAATATGAATTTAAAGTCGTGTTTCTTATGTATATTGTTTCCAAAGAACAGGGGTATATCATAACTATGCAATATGTCAAGTAATTATGGATAAGGAAATACTTTTTTAATTACAGTGTATATTTAGTCAAATATATTTTGCCACCAATGCGTTTTTTGCTCATTGCAGAGAGCAGAATTAAAATAAAGTACAGAAATAAAAACAAAGCAAGTCCTGGTGACCTGAAGCTCATCAAACCAAAAGGTACAAACTGGTTCATCAACACTTTGACCAAGATAGATAAACTATGTTTTAATCTTGTATTCATGCGTTTATTTGATCAACTTGGAAAACATGATGCATTTATATACAAAACTAAAAGAACAACACACGTTCTTAAATGATTGTTTTTTTTATTATTAGGTCCACCATTTTGTACACAACAGGAAAGCACGGATTTGATCAACAATATATAGACATATTTAAAGTGGGGAATCAGAAGAGCTCATCGTCATCTCGTTATACATCCAAGGACCTGAGGAGAGAGGAGAAGGAGACATGTTCAGATGAGAGGAAGTCAAAAGCAATATCATTCATGAGCTGCTGCACATTTTAACACACATTAACTTCCTAAATTCAGAATCAAGTTTATCACCAGGTACACACAGAGGGATTAGCTCTGGTGTATTGTGGTGCAAACATAAACAACTTCAGACCATAAGTTGCAAAAAGAGGTCAAAAATATACATTTAAATACAAAATGACCTAAAAAACATAAAAACTAAAAGACTTGGAACACTGAATATATGTCAGACTACTGTGTGGTATATTTTAAGATAAGATCAGATAAGAAGAAC